TCTTTGTACGATATCGAAACTTTGTGTCTAGCCCGTTTTGTTCTACCTCCGGAGTACCACAAGGGTCCAACTTGGGGCCTCTACTATTTTTTTTATACATTAATAGAGACTCCTTATCTTGTCATAAACTACTTTTCGTGAACGGTGCCTGACGACTGCGACATTTTACAAGAAAATATAAATGCCTTATCTTCATGGTGTGCATCTAATCGATTATTGTTAAACAAAAATAAGTGTTTTAAGGTGACTTACAGTAGAAAAGAGTTCAATATTGTTTATAATTACTCAATTGAGGGAACTCATAATATAGCCAAATTAGATACAATTAAAGACTTAGGCGTTACGTTTGACAATAAGTTTACTTTCAGAAATCACATTAGTGAATCTGTTGCACATTCTTATAAGATATATCGGTTTATCTATAGGAGTTGCTCTGAATTTAATAATACCCAGGCGTTGCTATTCCTATATCTATTATTCTCTTGTGCGCTCCAGGTTAGAGTACGCATCTATAATATAGTACCCAATTTATTCCACATATTCAGATGCATTAGAGTCTGTTCAACGCAAATTTTTAAAATATGTGTCATTTACCATTGATGGTGTCTATCCTATTCAAGTATCTGACCATAATACCTTACTGAACAGGTTCAGTAATCTACTTAGCACTACGAGCGCCATCTTTTGTGTCCAATTTATTTATAATATTGTCCATAACAAAATAGACTGTTTATGTCTATTAGGTAGAATTATGCTTTCTGTGCCTAGGTTACACAATATTTTAATTAATTACTTCGAGAACAATTAACGTTTATTGTTGCATAGTTTAGTTTATGTGGAAAACTTTAGTTGACATTTTTTTATATATACTCATTATATTCATTTCGTTCATTTATTTTATATCTGCATTTGTACTTTTTTATTTTTTTCATTTCCTGTACTTGGGTGCTTATGCCCGTTGGAAATAAATATTTGTTATTATTATAAAATATTTTTTACAAAGTATGCATTTATTCCGTTTAATTTGTCCTAAATTAATCATCACACTCGATAAAATAATTCAATTTGAGTTGTACAGTGATTTCTGAGTGAATTAGCGCGAGTAAATTCCTAGCTTGACGGGCCCCCAGGACGCATGCTGCCGATGGAGGTGTTGAGGAAGACGAGCTGCTCGAAGGGCTTCATCTCGGACTTCTTGCATACGACCTGGGTATGGTCGGAGATGGCTCGTGTGACGGGTTCGCGCACTTCGGCAAGGAGTTTCGTGGAGAGTTTCATATGCTGGCCCCGGCACCAATAAATGGACCAATTTGTTTAATTTGTCATCACACTGGATAGAATAATCCAATTTGAGTTATTCAGTGATTACTCAGTGAGAATCGAGGAATAACTTCTACATTCAATTTGACATTTCAATTTTTCATGGCTAATCCAAGAACACGATCGTCGAATGGAGACGGAACTTTTCTCGAAAAATCGGTCAGCGCACTAATTTCAAAATACGATTTTTAAAGCCCTTTTACAGTGAATGCAACGATTTAAAGTGACCTGGAGAGATATTATCAAATAAAAACCAATTCCCCATGTTAATTCCCTATGTCCAAACGTGGATGCGGCACACTATATAAGGGAAAATTGTAGTTAATAAATAGGCTTCGGATTTTAGGTCGTTAAAAAATTAATAAAAGGAGACATTTTTAGGTCCCAAAATTGACGAATTAGGTTATAAAAATCTTAGTTTAGGTTCAAAACCTGGAGGAAAAAATATTTGCTCAACGCAAAAGCATACATCAAAAAAATATATATTTAAAACAAAAACATTACACAAAACATTATAGAAACAAATATTTTGTGTAACAAACAAAAAAATGATTAAATAAACAAACGATCTATAGTTACGTCCACTAATTAGCAAATCGCATTTAACAAAAAATAAAATATTAATTCGGGTATTTAAAATGAGTTACAAAAGCGTACTATATATTTCTCTAAATTTTCGAATATAAATTTACACCTTTGATCGCTTAAAACACTTTTAAGTTTTGAAAACGTGCGTTCCACATCACAAGAAGTGATGGGTGCAAAATTAAATATTGAACAATATACGTTTTCATTTATGTATGTATTGTTGGTAGCATTTCCATTACCGCAAATTACGTTATTTACTGAACATATAAAATCGTATCCTGGATCTTTTTTAATAGAGAACATAATTTTTGGAACGCCATTTCCCCCACCTTTCCTGGTGTGTTAAAGATGTACACAATTTTTCCACAATGTCCACACTTTGGTCAGTGACTATGTATTAACATCTATACTCACTGCTTTGGTTTAATTTTAAATCTATAGTTTCTAATTGTTCTATTGCACCAGCAATAATTTTAAAGTGAGTTTTAATGTACAAGAGTTCATTTTTAACGTTTGCTTTATTCAGGAATTCTTGAGCTTTTTTAATGCTTTGTGCATCTGTGGCTTCAAATGACATTACAACCTAAAAATATTCAATATAAGAATAATAGTAAAAACCATTATATATTTACTGACTTGTTTTAAAACATCAAAGTGTTCTGCATAAAACAATGCTGCTTGAATCCAAGTGCCCCACCTGGTTAATACAGGTTCAGGTGGGAGAGGTGTAAACTGTTTTTATAAAACTCTACTCTTATTGGTGCTTTTAAAAAGATTTTCTTAACATTGCTAATTATCCCATTGACATCTGGATAATTCAGCCTAATTGTTTCAGACACTAAATGTAACCCATGTGTCGTACATGTTAAGTGTGTTATATTTTCATAAAACACCTTCAAATTAGTACCAGTTTTGATCATGTATGAAGCACTATCTGATACAAACAATTTAACTTTTTTGTGTTCAGTTCCTTTTGGCCACAATAAAGCTGCAAATTAACAATTAAATAAATTATAATAATTTCAATGCTTAAAATTATCAATAGCACACCCAATGATTCGTTTATAAATCTCAAGATTGTGTTGCTATTGGTTTTATCAAGCTGCTTCAAAGCTAGTAGAAATTGACGGCCAGCTTCTTCAGAAGATAACTTTCCAATTACTAAATGGGCTATGTATATTGCTAATCCATATGTCATTATTGCCAACAGAATTTCTAATTTGTTTAATTACCTGTAAATTATAAAATTGATTTTTAAAAGTTTTTAAATAAAAATTCTAGTGCTCACCATATCGTAATCTTTTGGTAAATCTTTTTTTTCTCAGAGTGCTTTCTGAGGGTAAATGCCCTCCTGTATATTTATGCATAAAATTTTTAAACTCAGGACAATTAACTTTATTCCATGAAATATTTGCTGCGGTAAATGCCCTACATAAATCGGTGCAAAATTGAATAAAATCATTGTCGAAACCATTGTTTAATAAAGTCTGTTTACTGGATTTATTCTCGTTCTTTTTATGTGCATCGCCACTGCAGTGTTGTTCAAAATGTGATTTTTTTTCGCACTTAAACTAGGAAACAAAAATGTGAACATAATTCAACCTTTATTATTTTAAATGTTTACTTACAACTTTCCACACACTTTGCAGAATAACTCATTGTCTTCGTTTGAAGAAGGAAATTGAAAATTAGTGTCCAAATTATTCCCTAATCATAATTTGATTTTATCTTTCATGGATGATTTTACCTTAGGCATTTTGAGGATTCTTTACTGCATGCACAAAAATCAAAACCGGCCCCAGCACACTCACTAACACGCAAAGACACTCAGTATCACTAACAATAAACTTCTAAAATAAAATGCTTTTTCAGAGATTCACCTCCTTCCGACTATAATCTAAATGATATCCAGGCCAGCGTTGTCAGTTGGCAACATCAACCCGTACCATTAAAACTCAAGGGCGTTGTTTACAACCCATTTTTAGACAATCTGCCAGCCAAAACAATGAATTCACGGAAAATCTCTATTGTGCAAGCACGTCCGCTTCGTTGGTCGTGGAATCCTATTTGAGGTCTTTTAAAATTTACAATTAGGTCGTTTAGTTAACACTTTAGGTCTCTAACGGTAAATTAGGCATTTTAGGTAGTAATAAATGGGCGTTAAATAAACAGAATTTTCTAAATTCGGATAAATATATAAATTTCGCTACAATGCCTGAAGTAGATATAAAAAGGCAAAAAACCTAAGATCCGAAGCCTATTAATAAATGTTAAAGCAAACATTAAAGCAGAATAAAATGTGTTCATTTATTTCACTGTATTTATAAAATTTATTTTACTGAATTGTAGTTTTCATGTAACACGAATATATTTTATATTCGAACGTACGGTACTAATCACACACGTTTGCTGCACCTCACTCCAATATACTAATTTTGGATGTTGTTTAACATGTTTCTGTATTTTACACACATGTAACAAATTTATAAAATCCTTAGTTTTAATTAATTTTGGACAAACTTTGTTTGGTTGTACAATTATTATAATAATTTTTAAAGATTCTGCAATGACAATTTTACATACAATTTCCATAATCTGACACTTGCACAAATGGAAGCATTTTACTTACAAAAACCATAGTCAGCTACAACTGTTCAGACTGATTTTTGTATTTTTTGTATATACATAGAAAAATTGGTCTAAAGTTATTTATAGACAACTATTCTCTTTTCTTCGAAAATTATAAAATTTAATTTTGCAAATTTAATTATTTTATAAGTAATTTTGTAGGCAAAATGAAAGATAAATATGTCTGGACTGTTAAAGTACAGTTAAACAAATATGCAATGCGTATATTGCAAGTGAATTTTTTTTCTCACAAACAGCTGTCCTTTTTAGTTCCTGTAATTGGGTTTGTCCTGTTGGGATCAATAAATGTATTTATTAGAAAACTATGTCCGAAGTTTCTACAATAGCAGGTAAAAACTCTGCTGATATCCGTCAACGTCTTTAACAAATGCAAGATAATTCCGTCGTCATTCTCTGATTAAAAAAAATCGTTTCACTAATTTAATTAAGCAATTTTTTTCCAGGGACATCTCGTTACGTTTAATGAAAGCGGGGGAATTCTGCCCGTCGACCACATCTTAACTCTGAAGTCCGTAAAGAAGAAATTTCAGGGTCAATACGCATGTTCTTCTGCCAACAGCGAAGGTGAAAGCTACAGCTCCCCCTTCGAGTTAATCATACAGTGTAAGTAAACAAATTTACACGAAAAAGAGCAGCGGATGAAATTTAAGTAATGCCCATACTCACAATGATTAAATTTAGTCTGAAAGGAAAAATACGATAGCGAACGCTTGAACCTTCCCCAATGCAATTTGGCTGAACTCCCTGAAAAATTGCCGGCATTTAGATTTACTTAATCCCGGAACGAAGTTTTTCTAAATGTATTTCTTTGTGTTTTTCATTTGGTTCTTCGGCATTCATCAAGTTCGAATGTGATTTAGGCGACATGTAGATGAGAAAATTCATGGCGGGCTCGTTTTGCGTTCGAAAAGTCAGATACGATTTTTTACTGTTATATTAATTGCCACGTACCGTGATACATTGCTGACTGTCGGAATTCATGTCCGAAAAATTATTAAAATCTGGCGTATTCGTTTGTCATCAGATAATTGGCTCGTAGATTTCAGGTACGATCGGCGGCTACCGCACTGCAGGATTTTCAAATACATTGCTGGATACGGTTCGGATAATGGCATCATAAAGTTCTGTCACTAAAACATTGTATTTGGAAACATGTAGATTTTAAATTAATTCGAATTTAAATCAATCGGACGTTTAATATTGTAGTTATCGCGCAAATATAGTCGATATCAGCGATTGATCAGATCTGCAGAGAATGTGTTTTCGTATCCAATTCCATTCGGACATTTATTTAATATAGATAACATGTGCTCGAAAAAAGTATGTACACATTTCATTTATTTGTAATCTTACCCACGTTCATGCTGGTTATATAAATATTTGCCAAACCTCAAGTATGCAGGAACAACCAAAGAAATGAAAGACAGATTCACTGATAGTATTGACGACGAAAATTAATGTTAAACTAAAATATTTCCTTCCTTTTTACGTTGTATACAGAAACTTTCTTATCTCGAAGTAGCTCTTAAGATTAAGTTATTTAAATTAATAACAAATTTGAAAATTTAAACGACCATAGCGTTTACAGTCAACTAATCAGTTTATTACTGTGTGTAAATTTATTAGCTGCTGGAATACTTAATTAAAACCAGATAAAATCTTGACGAGAGATGATTAAATTCAAGACCTCTATTTTATATAAAATTGTTTAGAAGTTAGGGAACAGTAATAATTGCAGTCTTGCCTAATAAAAAAATAAAACTTCGCCATTAAAGAGCAGCAAGGAATTTATCGAACGAGCTGTCTCAGGCTGTGCTTGCTGATCGTAGAAACCTAAATTACAACCTGTGTAGGAACTTTAAATGCCAGGCAATAGTCTGCATAGTTGAATTACAATAGTTCGGTTTCGAGTAATACTCGAATAACAATAACGATGCTGATTTTAATCACAGAACAGATGTTGAATATCGACATGTCGACGTTTCATTATCTTTGCCACTGGCATTAAGGTACTTGCTCGACTAATAACAGACTAATTAATTTCGAGCTTCTGTAATCGCCGATGCACTAACATGTTGGAATAGATTATACAGACAGCAAATCTGTTAAAAATACTCTAACATATTAGTATTTGTTTTGTAAGAAAATTGCACTTAAAGTACAAAGAACTACTTTTCTGGTGTAATTGTGTTACACAGAATGGCACATTAATAAACGAAAAAATTCTAAAGCAACATTATCTAGTAGTACAGACTAGGTTTCTTGGTTTTGATTCTTTCAGTTTTTGGCAACGTGAAGTGCTTGTTTGATTTAGTTGGAAGCAGTTTGTTCACTGAAATGAAGAAGGGGTGGGTGGGCGGGATAACTTCTTTAATCAATAAAATTTTTTTAAATCAACATTGCCTCTGAAACAACATTCACACCCTGTAGATAGGTAATTTAGAATAATATCGAGAGCCAACTATTTTTCAAAATTGCAAAAATTATAGGAATTTTCAAAATCTCATGAAAGTATACAGAGTTTTTTTTATATATGTATTTTTTCTGTTTATGTTTCAATGTGAAAGCATCTTACAAAATTTGGTAACAGTCGGTCTAGTAGTTTCACAGATTACGTGTCGAATAAAAATTGATACAGACATCAGAGAGACAGACGGAAACGGGGATCACTTTATTCGTACTCTAGGGGTCATGAAACGTCAAGAAAATATGAAAGTAGCAATTCGTCCGATGAACTCGATTACTATACTTCCTTAGCTTAGGGTCAGGAAGTAAAAACCTATAGACAACCTGTAGACCTACTGTCGATTCAAATTTCATTTAAAGTTTCCTAATATTAAACAGTTATCTTATAACGGAAAGAGCAAAAGAAAGAAAGAGGGTGAAATATAAATTTTTTATAAAAAATGTGTTTACCTCACCACAATTTTCTTTTATACAGTTATGGATGTATTACTTTTTACGAGTAGATTTCATAGTCACTATTAAGCTATTATGAATAGCTCTCTTCACTGCCTTACAGTAAACTTTGGTGTAAATACACAAACTTCCACATTTTTTATTTTTCGAAAGTTATTGTAAAGTCGGAATATTTCCGATCCAAACAGAAAAAAACTTGAAAGACTGGATAATTACGGCGAGATTGTTGATAAAATAGGGCAACCATGTTAGTTTCTCAACAAGACGAAAATCGATTACTCAAACTTTTGTAGAATTTATGCCCGAAGTTACAGGAAAAATGGATTACCAGCTTTCGCAATGAATGCAGATTTCTAAAAAGGAATAACAAGTGGCTAGATAAAAAACAGTGACCAACTTAATTTTTATGCGTCGTTCACCTTCTGGTACCATATTCTGCTCAACCAGTCGAAGGATAATAAAGTTCAGGTAGAAATTGTGATGAGTATTGATGTAGGACAAAAAAAAAACATATTTAATCACCGTACAATTTCGTTGTGTGCCAAAAAGAAATAATCTGTCCTATATTTTTTAAATAATGTGAAAAACACTATTTATTTTTCACCTGCCCTAGGGCATTGTAAAGAAATTAGCAACTCGTAGTTTTTATTTGTACAAACTGTATGAACGTCCACGTTCAAGCTGACAAGTTTTAGCATATTTAAAAAGTCGGTCTTAATTTATTCTTGAAACTGGTGAAAAATAAAAAGTTGTATTGAGGTGTTATTACACTATAATGCCCTCGGGCAACGTTCGTTCCTCGGACTCACGTCCCTCAGGTTGGAACTTATAACGCCCTAGGTTCGTAAATAACTATTAGATGATCGAAAGTCTCTACTTGTGTGCTTGAAGTAGATACAAGAAATGTATTCCAGAACACAAAATGTTATTTACTGAAAGTAGGAAACATAAAATTCAAAATGATTTTCAAAAATTAAATGGTCCTGCTAATAAAATTTGTAAAATAGTGTTCTACACCAACAAACGACAGTAATACAAATGGAAGCTTTTTACGTAATCAGGTTGTAACAGCCAAAAATACCACTAAGTCAAAGAACCTGAAAAGGCCACCTAAACAATAACTTGATCAATAATTATATCATCCACATACCCTATATTTTATGAAAATCACTTTTATATACAACAACTAAGGATTTTGATTATAATTATTGTTTTCCATCTGTCCGATTCACAAAATAGGTTAGGATTTTTCTAGAATGTAAACAACTCGATTTATGAATGAAATCGAATCCCTCCTTCTACTATCCCCGTGCTCTTCTATTGCCCAACTCCATCTGCGTCAAAATGTCGTTTCCGGTTTTTTCTTCCTTGGTTTTCAATAAAATAAGTAGCGGAAACGGGGCGAGACTACTTTCCATCCTTCTGTTGAAGAGTGATCAACCACGTCGAATCTTCCAAATTCTTCTCCAAGTGATTTCCGGGTGTAGGTGCAGAATTTAGATATATTATTGGATGTCCTGTACATTAAAGTAACGTTTGATGCCCTCCCCTTCGATTCTATCGGATTATAACGCTGGGAGCAACTCGACCTTGGTCGGCTATTGAAAATTGGAAATTCGTAATTATTAAAAGAGCCTTGGATCATCCAAAGGTAATTATCTGTTGTCAATGAGTCTTTTCATGTGGTGGAGTAAATGGTGTATGTATTTCCGTGAAATTCCTCTTACCAAAAGGTGTTGGGTTCCCCCATGTGGTCGAGATGTCTTCCCTGTTCGTGGCGTCCATTCTTGCCTCCTATTGCCTTCATACTAGAAGTATTTACACTTACAGGCTCTTTTTTTATTCCCCCACTGGGATATATATCTTTTCCCATACATTTCGTGGATTTTCCCTGGAACTCGTGTTGGAAGGAAATTGGCCGGATTGATATAAACTTCTCCATCTACTCGTCGGTCCCACCACAACGACTAGAAGATCCCCCAGGTCTTGAGGCAAATCCAGCTTGAAGCCCCAGCTTGCGTAGCAGCTAAGTCATTATTATAAGCCCCTATTTAGTCTTTTTCGCGTATGTGAAGTGGCCCACTACGGTTAACTTCCATTGATTTAAAGTAATTTAATAGTAAATCGAAAGTGTCATTGAAAGTATAGTTATCTAATAATTTATTCATCTTAATACATAGTTTAAACTCTTTAAATATTACTTAGTTACATTTCATGTATTAGCTTCTTCGTTCTAATTCAGTCAATAATTATCTTGTTAATTACGTCGTAATTGTAAAATAATAATTGAGTTCAGACAATCTTTCGAAATAACCTAAAAACTGTATAATGTTATAAGAAGGTGTTGACCAACATGCCGGTTGCTTATGGTAGATCCAACCAAAGGTGGATAGTGTAAATTCCTGGTCTTCGCATGCGAATACGGAATATTTTCCCGAGAGTTTGGAAAATTCCACAAGGTAAATAATACCCTAACCTCACTCATTTGAGAACTCTCAATTCGTTTCATTCATTCATAGATAGGGTAGATTACCATTTGAAACTAGCGGACTCGTGATCTTGCGCGTTGGTTTTTGCCCGAGGGCATAAGTTTAGAAATTGAGGAACTCATTATTATTTGTCAACAATTTCATTTTCTTTAGGGTTAATTAAAGTATACCAGGTTAGTACCTTATTATTGTACG